AAATCCACTATCTCGGATGGCATAGTTTTGGACTAAAACTATGAAATCACAGCCATAGCTTCAACTTAATTTCACAATCATCCAATTTAAGGTGGGCCACATTAATATATCAAGGGCTGTAATTCACGGTTTTAATCGTGGTTTTTAAATTCAGACTGGACCAGACGGTCAGATCGGAAAACAAAAATCAGTTAGGTGACCATTTCCATTTTACACCAAAAATGTTATTTCGTTTAAAATCATTGATTTGGTCAGCAAACCATTAATTCAGACAGTTGAATCATTCAAGTCATTTAAATGATTTTAACTTTTTTATTTTTTGTTAAAATAGGCCCTCGATTCAATTTAAACAGTCAAACCATTCGACCCAAGAAGTGAAAACTGGTTCGTTGTTCAGTAAGATTTTAAAAATCTTAGTTTTAATCTAAGATTGTATCAGTCGGCGTAACGGATATTTTTGTCAGGTAGCCTAAATCCAAAGGCCACCTCATCCTTAAAAAAACAGCCGCACGAGTATAAGATGTTCTGGACATTTGACGGACTTTGGTGGTGTTGGTGTTGTTTTTACTCAATTATTGGGACACCTCACACCTCCTCCTTTCGCTCTATTTTATTTTATTTTCTCCTTTTGGCGCCGTGGCCACTGGCCACGTATAAAATTACAAAATGACTTATTTTAAAATACATCTCACTCCCTCTCTCTTTATCGCATGATTGGAGTATGTTATAGTTATAACGCTTACCGTAAATGACTAATTAAATTCCTCTGCCCCCAATTCCCCGGAATTGAAATTACAATTCCTCTTGAAATTTCGAAATCTATTCCTTTGTCTTATAACATTACATTTACATACCGGGGATGGGATTAGCTGAAGGGACAAGGGGTAGATCAAAAAGGATATGAATAAAATTGGTAATAAATGATTTAGGCTGCCTTTGTTTGCAGTGTAAACTTGCACTCCAGTCCGGTTTTACTCACATTTGGTACGCATGTAGCAGTGTTTTTATGTTCCATTTAACAAAGTTTTTTACATCAATAATCGGTAAAATATTAACACTGATTTTTTCGATGTAAAATTTTGAGTAACCCACTCCACTGGTGCAAAAGTGTATTTGCACCGCAACCAATGATAATGCATGGACAATAATGATGATAATGAGATAAGATTAGCTGAACATTCACTGTCATTCAACCTCTCACTATGGGCCCAATGTAGTTTATCATTGTAGGATATATGTTATCATTGATTCCACAGCCATTTGCATTCAGCTAATCTGAATTGTTTCAGCATCTACTCAAAAGGCAAAAAGTTATTTGCATTTGGTAGTAATGTTTTTATACATCATAAATCGATGTATAACTCCACCCAAGAAAGTTTTTGCATCGATAATTTGTAAATTGTTAACACTGATTTTTTCAATGTAAAATTTTTAGTATCCCACTGTCACTCTACTCCACTGGTGCAAAAGTATATTTACACCGCAACCAATGATAATGCATGGATGATAATGATGATAATAAGATGAGATTAGCTAAATGCAATAGCTGTTCAACAGGCTGTGGGACCAATGATAATGACACCACCAGTCTTTTAATACACAGAGTTCACTGCCATTCAACCTCTCACTGTGGGGCCAATGTAACTTGTCATTGTAGAATGTTATCATTGATTCTACAGCCTACTACACAGCCATTGCATTCAGCTAATCTGAATTGTTTCAGCATCTACTCATAACGCAAAAATTTCAGCCTAAGGTTCCTCGCCACTGACCACATCAACAATTAATAAAACTCTGGACAGCTAATATCGCCTGGTTAGAGTAGAGGTTTCAATGCAAGGGAACTCTCTCTCTCTCTCTCCACACTCTTGTTTTTCACTAATCCATATTGAAAATTAATCTGGCAATTTGTCGTAAAATTTCATTTGCACTAATACAAATGCATGAGAGTGCAAATGGAAATAATACAAATTCTGGTTCACTTTTGTTCTAGATTTTGCTTTGTTTCAGGTTTTATCAACTTGATCCGCAATGCAAACAGATGAAATAAAACAAAATCTGAAACAATTGAAATTAATTTGAGTATTTGAAAGAGATGTTCATTCCCGGAAAGAAATAAAGGACTGCAGGATGAAGAAAAGTTCATTGATGCTCAGAACCTATATATTGAATCGATGGAAAATATGACATAAAATTAGATACTGTAAGTCTTCTGCAATAACAACTCTCCATGTCAGGTTGGCAAGTAGTAGGGTGCTCACGGTTCGGTGGCCTTTTTTTTTAACTGAACCGGTATTTCTGGTTTTTGGAAAATCGGTAATCGAAATCAATCGGTTAATCGGTTGGCCAGTTTAGTTAATCATCGGTTTGGTTTGTCGATTATTCAATTTTTTAATTTTTACAATATATTATAAAAATATATATAAATATAATAAAAATCATAAATATTATATTTTAAATATTAAATAATATATCATATATTATAAATATATATTTATATATAGTACATCTTTATTAATTTATAATATATATATAATATAATATTCATAAATATATAAAATATATAAAAAATATGTATACCGGTCGATTCAGTTAACCGCCGGTTTTCTATATTGGTTAACCGAAACCGAACTGATACCTTTGATTTTTTAAAAACACCAAACTGACCGATTTGATTAACTGATTTTTCAGTTCGATTTTGGTTGATTTTTCCCATCGGTTTGGTTTTTCAATTTTTTTGTTCACCCTTACAAATTCAACACTAAAAACTTTTGCCAAACTCTCATAATCACGGATTCTGATTTGTCATTTCATGCACTCTAAAATAGATGGAATCGTGCAAACAGGAGTCATATACCTGATCCCATATAATCGGGACAAGGTTAGATGACAATGATGTCTTCTGTATACACCATTTTTGGAGCCGAACAATGGAATGCACCTTTTTTTAATAGAAAAAACATGGAATGCATAAAGCAGTGGATTTGAGAATCCTTTAATTTTTATCCTGCTTTTTAAGTTTCTTAACTAATCCGAATACAACCTTGCACTTGCAGACCCAATGCCTCACTCTAGGCCCAACTTAGAGGTAGGGTCGAGCTTGACTTTTCAGGCCTAGGCCCAGATTACAGCAGAAAATGCTTCTGCTGTACCCGTGAAAAAGCTTGGATTAGGACTTTGGTTGGATGGAGATCAGTTTGGCTCGAATGACAATTTGGTTTCCGAATTTTAAAATATCATAATTTAGTATTTGAACTTTTAAAATGCGATGATCTAAGTATCTGCATATGATTTTATCTGTAATTTAAGACTTTTAAAAATGTCAAAATTATCCTTAAAAATAAAACACATTATTCATCATCTTCTTCATTAAGAAACGAAATAGAACCCAAACTCTGTTATTGAGAGAGAGAGATCTGATTGAAAAACTAAATTGAGAAAAAGCTTTGGGGCATGAGTCCTGAAAGCCCAGTCTTTGGACCAAATTGTCACTCAAGCCAAAAAATCTCCTTTCTGGATTCTCCACTTGCATTACTATTACTTCAAGGCGATCTCTGTGAGCGTGGGGCATCAGTCCTGAATCCTGAAAGCCCAGAAAGCAGAAACCTTCCTAGCTAGTTCCCTCACCCTGATTGTCGATGGACAATAGCTTCGATGTGCAAGAAGCAACTGTATAACAAAACCATTTTTTTGCTAACATTTGCTGCTGCCCCAAGTATGCAAGAAGCAACTGTGCTTAGTTTCTTCACAGCTCCAAAGCTCTGCTCTGCAACGCATCTCCCTTTGTATCTGTATGTCTCTGGCATTATCTTCACTCAATTACTTTATTCTGTTCTAAAAAGCAAAATCATTTTTTATGAATTCAACCATCTCAACTGGGTTTCAAGCAGCACCTAAAGAGCAAGGCTGGACTATCCGATTGAGAGGGGAAGAGTAGGGAGGACAGTTAATGGGGATCCATTTCATTTTAACAGGTCCAATTTTCTCTGCTGTATTCGTAGAAGATTCAATATCCACTATCAGTATTTAGGTGGCTGGAAGAGAGATGTATAACATTAACAGTCTTTAAAAGATACACGCAAAGTGTCAATCGGTACCTCTGTTTTATTCCATTTGATTTTCAGTTAACACTAAAGCGACGAGATATTTGAGATTTTCTCTTCTGGTTTCGTTTTAGCTGCTGAAGGAGCACTCTCTTCATCACTTACACCTGGGGGAAATTGAAAGCTGGTTAAAAAAGCATTGGGTGCACATCTGAAATTTGAATTTTCTGCATAACTAGCCTTATTTTCGTGTGTGTGTGTCTGTAGGTTGGTTTTGATTTTAGGGGATGGTTGATAAAGAAAATTAAATGATATTTGAGGGTTATTTGTGTCTTTTTATATGCCACTTAACAACAGGTGCCGAATTATCAAGTACTAAAATGTCTTTTAAAGTTAAGGGACCGAATTGTCAGTCCAGCCAAAGTACAGGGTGGTCATAAAGAATTTTCTCTTTATTTTAGTATTTTTTTTTCATTTCCATTTGTTATTGGTTTAGTTAATATCAATTGCATATTGTGTTTGTTGAAATTCTAAATTTTAAGAGAAGCTTCAATGTTTTTTAAGCAAAATATTTCTATTTTATAGAAGCTTTTAAATGTGTATTTTAGTAAATTAACTTCTTCCACCACTTAAGGTCTTTGTCTGAATTTGAAAATTCAGGAGTCTTTGTTGTAAATAAAAGTTCATAGGGTAATTGTCACTAATATATAATTTACCCTCAAAATTATGATGCTTTTAGGGAATTCAAATCAACCCCACAAGACTGCGCCCCACAACTTCCCACAGCACAACCCCGTCCTCCTCGCTACTCTTTGATTGGAATCTACTCCCCTTTAAGAAACGTATTTAAACTGTTGTGTGTGTCCCACCCACGGACAACGGAATCGCCAGAAGATTCGCTGAGTCACTGCTCCCGTTTCCATTTCCTAAATCCGAATAGCCGAATATAAGTGTCCATTCCCCATTCGGGGAAACTCTCCAACCGCCGTCGGCGGGGGCCCTCTCGCTCGTCGCAACTTTAATTCGCCGGCTGAGTTCAGTATTCTGTGCAATCTCTAGGGTTAATTGTGAAGTTTAGCTAAAGAGGGTTGATGGGGAGGCATGGAAGCAGTCGTAGTAGTAGTAGTAGGAAGAAGAGGAGGTCGAGTGACTCGGACTCGGAGTCTTCTGAAAGCAGCTATGAACATGATCGGCGTAATAAGAAGAGGTCTTCACGAGAGATTACAGAGGAAGAAATCACCGAGTACTTGGCGAAGAAAGCACAGAGGAAAGTATGTCTCTCTTTTTCCATTTGTATTTCAGGCTTTGGGTTCTTTATTTGTCTCTGATTATTTTCTAGGGTTCTTTGTGTTAATTCCCTCCCCCCCCCCTTTCTTTCTCTTTTGATTTTTAGGCATTGAGAGTTGCGAAGAAACTGAAGTCGCAGACAGTTTCTGGTTACTCCAATGACTCGAATCCCTTCGGCGATTCCAATCTCAATGAGAAGTAAGTATTTCTCCATTGATGAATTCGCCCCTTTGTGGCCGTAAATATGTTCACTGTTAAGCAATGGCAAGCATTTATTTCTACTTTGGTTCTCTTGTATTGTTTCTTCCATGAAGAGGAGAATTCGTTTGTCAGTTGCATTTGGTTTTATCTATGATTTGCAATTGATTTTGCATTCATTAGTTTGGTCGAGTTTATATTTGGTTGGAGTGTCGGTGCCTTGTGTTTGTTGTAAAGTAATCCTCTTCTGCTATCATCTGAGTGTTTCATAAGAGATACAACACATACATATGTGTGAGCCCTAGTAACTATTTTTGATAGTGTAAAACTCAAGTTGGTGAGTCAGATGCTTATTTTGAAGAATTCCCTAGGACTTAGATAAGCTGGCCCCATGTATGGGTGGGTGGTTCTTCCTTGAAGAAATTCAGCTGAAGAAGAAGCCATTGGATGAAAAGATCAACCACTGGTTCAAGTGTGTTCTTTAAATATTATTACCTAGTCAGCAAGGTTCAAAGTATATACGCTCGATATGCAATTCTTGTCTATCAGACGTTTCAAATGGCCTTTAAACATAGGTAAAAAATTAACTAGAATTTTATGAATTGGGTCAGGACAGTATACCAAAGGTATTGACCCTTAAAAGTGGCCAGGTGCCCTAATTATGTGTATTTAACGTTTTCTATCCATACAATGCGGGGTGTATCATATCAATGCTTTGAACCTTGCTACTCGGTATTCTGGTTGAGATGGAATGAAGTTTTGCAGGGCAGGCTACCTTGCTTGTTTTTTGGAAGGTTCCATAATTTTACTCTTTTTAGGTGTCTTTATCCATGGTCGGGAATGAATTCCTTTCTTTTGCATTTCTTCTGGTACAATAAGGTGTATGACATTCCATTGAACCTCTTAACCAAGTTGTCATTGTTATCATTAACAGCAACAGCCTTATAGTATGCAGTGTTTAATACAGGACTTACGTGTCTCCATTTTGCTCCAACTGGGGCTATTATCTTCTTCCAAAGGACATTTCTGGAGCCTTTCTTACTGCATACATTCAATCCTCCTTGTTATCCTTATCCCTCATTGTTTCAGTCAATGACCTTCATTTCATTAGACTAGACCTTCTCAGTTAACTTTATCTTAACCATCATCTCTTTGTGCTACCTTTAATCTTCCTCAAATGCATTTATTTATTTAATTTTAATCCTGTTAGTCTCACCATAATTCCAACTCAATATCCTCATCCTGGCTAGAATCATCTAAAGGATGCTTTGTTCCTCGGTTTGAAAACAATAATAATCTCCACCATAAAACATCATTATTTAAAAAAAAGCAACTATACTGTTTCTGTTCAATTAAATTGGTATTTGTAGGTTGAAGATTATTGAAAAAGAATGTTCTTGAGAAGGAAATCAAACAAAAAAAATGAAAGAAAAAAAGTGAGAGTAGGTATGCAAACGGGTTGAATCAAATTTGGATAGGGTTATATCCGAATTCAATTTGTTAGGAAATACAAGATGTTCAAATTCGATTCAAATCCGATGGATCTAAAAAATCTTTAGATTTGAATTCGATTTGATCAAGTTACGGATATCCAAATGAGACCCGATTAGATTATCACCAAACAAAATGAAAGTTTAAAGAGGATTCTTACATCCTATTCATTGAAAGTTGCAAAATAATAAGACTCAAAATTTAAAATTGGTTGTTGGTCTGACATTTGACATCCCATTTTGTCAATTTAAGGCTTGAGAATTGAAACAAGAAGATAAAGAAAAAATGAATAAGAGTGAAATTGAGAGAAGTCCAAAACTTGAGATCTGATTGGCATTTGAGATGAGATTTGATTCTATTTGAAACAGGAAGAAGAAAGAAGAAATACCTGACATTTGGGACCGATGGTGCTGCTAACTACACAATGTTGTTCAACTAATGGTGGCTAGTTTGGGTGGTAAGATGATGGATGATATTAGAGGTGTAATGTGGGCCATGTTGGGCTACAGTAAATGTTGTAATTGAACATTACTGGGATCCTGAGTTCAGCAACAGAGTCTTGTTGGTAGCAGATCCAGACTCTGTCATGAATAGGGCCCTTCTGTTTAAATGGTTAAGGCAGGCAGTATTGGCTTGAAAATTATTACTTATCGAGGAAAATTAAAAGTGCCAGCTGTGGCGTTTGTTTGGATTTCTCAATCTATGTTTAGTCAAGCTCTGAGTGCCCCAACTCATGGAGTTGTTTGGGATCAATATGTTGGATTGCCAAATTTAGAAAGTTTCAAAGTTTTGGGCTGTTGATGAAGCATGTGAGTGATACATGTGAAAATATACTATAAATACTGTTAGTTTAAAATAATTATGGATTGATTATTTTAACAATAAATTTAGTTTTATGTATTATGATCTTTAAGTGGTCTTAGGCATCTTGGGACAACAGGTGGAGGATTGGGGGCAGGGGGAATGATTGGAGATGTACAAGGGCTGCTATTTGTTGGACAGTTTGGGAGGAAAGGAATCAAAGAATTTTCTCTGAAAAGGAAAGGTGTAGAGCGTCCATCATTGAAACCATGACTATTAGGGTGGTTCATCGGGTGAAGTCCTTAGAATTATTTGAGGGCATATCTTCAGATGATCTGTTCAAGAATTGGAAGGTAGTGGCTAATTCAGCTCCCCTCAAGTCTGTGACATGTCCACTTTGGTCCCCACCAGATGTTGGTTCACTAAATTGAATTTTGATGGTAACAACGAAGGTAATCTAGGTTCCTCAGGGATAAGAGTAGTTTTCATGGATGAAGAGGGAAAGTTATTGCCCTTTACTTGGTTCCCATTTGGGGTAGGTGATTCACTTAGAGCTGGGGTTTTGGCGGCAATGGAAGGGATTAAAAGATCAAAGGAGTTGAATATCAGAAAGCTGATTGTGGTAGGTGACTCTAAATTGGTTATAGGATGGCTGCAAAAGGAGGAGAATGTGTAGAGAACACTGATGTGGGCCCCACTGTGTTCGTAGGACAGTATGTGTAATTATTTGTTTTAGTCATGGTAGTGTCAGTTGGTGGTCAGTTTGTTATTTCAGTTGTTATTTATTTTAGTTTTTTATTTGCTTTATTTGTCATGTAAGTACTAAGGGCAGATCTGTCCTTTTCTCTATGTACTGAACATAACCTATAAATACTAAGAGAGTGGCGGCGGCAGATCAGTTAGAATCTATCCCTCCTTTCAAACCCTTGTGTTCTCCAGTTCTTCTCCTCTCCTTTCTTCCTTCCTCTTACTTTTCTTCTACTTTTCTTAATCTGAAATCTATTAGGGTTCAAGGCCGATCGCAGTCTTGATCGTCTACTTGGTATCAGAGCCTATCTAGGGTTCTCATGTGTGTCTAGTCCAGCCGACCACATGAGAACCCTCTAGGGCTGGAAGCTTATGAAGAAGTATTCGTTGGCTGATTCTTGGAGATTACCAGAAGAGTTTAGTAGCTGTTGAAGATTTGCCACGGCTTGCAGAGTGTTGGTAATCAGGAAGAATTAGAGAAGGCTAGGGTTCAGGCAACCCTAGAAGGTAGCGAACAACATTCTTTGGGTAAGTTTTATTTATTTTCAGAGACTGCTATCAGTCGAGATAGGTTGGACCTATCTAGAAGGAGCGACCGAACTGCTTTAGGGTTTTCTCTCTATTCTAGGGTTTGACATTAACCTTGCGGCAAACCGGACTGTTGGGCCGAACCCTCTTTATCTTCTTGGAAAGTGCTTGTTTTAGGGTTTTCTCTCAGAGGTGATCAGTTTTAGGGTTTCACATTGACCCTACGACAAGTCCTAATTGTACGGACTGCTTGGAAAGTGCGGCTGAGCACTTATTTCAGACCTACGATTAAAACCCTAATTCTGCTCCAGCATCTCAGATTGCTCTCTAAGCTAGTTTTAGACCTATTTTTTGGCTTTGAGCTCTTTTAGGGGGTAAAAAACTTGTACGGATTGCTTGGTATTGTGATTGCCGATTGGTTTCAGATCAGATTTATACTGGTTTCATGCATATACTGTGATTGCCGCTTGGTTTCAGATCAGACCTGCACTAGTTCATGCATATACCGTGATTACAGATTGGTTTCAGATCAGACCTGCATTGATTCCATACTGATTTCTGATTGTGATCGACTGTCCAAGTGCTGTTTTCTGGTGTAGTGACCCTAACAGTTCATAATTACTGATTCTTGACCAAAGATGGAGTTTAAAAATCAGGGAGAAGGTAGTTTTGGGAACAACAATTATGATAGTATATCTGAAATTGGGTTTCAGATTACAACTGTGAGATTTGACGGGTCAAACTACTTGGAATGGGCCCAATCAACCATGATGGCTATTGGAGGAAGGGGAAAACTGAGTTACCTCTTGGGAGATGTGAAAGAACCTTCCAAGGAGGACCCAACATACACCAAGTGGGTTCAAGAGAATTACATGGTTATGGCATGGCTGTGTAATTCTATGCAGCCACATATCAGCAGAAATTACTTGTGGGCAAAGACAGCCAAAGAGATATGGGATGTTGTGAAAGAAACCTATTCCCAACCCCTTAATGTTGCCAGAGCCTATGAACTGAAGTGTGAAGTGAATAGTCTTAAACAAGGAGAGAAACCAGTTTATGTCTACTTCTCTAGAGACCCTTGAGTGGGAGAGTCCCAAAGATGCACAGACTCACAGAAAGCAAGTCGAGACAAATAGGGTGTTTGAATTTCTGGCCGGCCTGAATTCAGAATATGACATTGTGATGCAACAGATACTGACCAGAGATAGGGTGACCCTCTCTCAAGCATACTCCCTGGTGCATAGTGAAGAGACCAGGAGGAAAGTCATGATGCAACCTCAACCCCTTTCCCTAGCCCTAACAGCTGTTAAACCTAAGTCAGGGGGTGATCCAGAAAGGGATAGGAAGAAGGAAGATAAACGGGACTTGGTATGTGAACATTGCAAGAAACCCAAGCACACAAAAGATACTTGTTGGAAGCTACATCCTCATTT